TGTGTGTGTGTGAGAGAGAGAGAGAAGAAGAGAGAGAGTGTGTGTGTGTGTGTGTGTGTGTGTGAGTGTGTGTATGTGTGTGTGTGAGTGAGAGAGAGAACAGAGTGGTGTGTGTGTGTGTGTGTGTGTGTGTGTGTGTGTGTGTGTGTGTGTGCCATTTTTGTTGTTGTTGCTAAAAGGTATCAAAATGTGCATTTTCTGCCTCTTGATTTGTCCGTTAAGTTGAGCGATAATTCTGCATTGTACAGTGCTAAGACGCTTTAGGGATTAGGCACTATATACTATATAAAAATTCTCATTACATGTATCATAATTGTAAAGGGGGATGGTTGGGATACCATTGAAAGGCCAAACTTCTGTATTATCTCTACTTAGTCTCGGTCTCTAAGTTTTCCTTTTATTAGCCTCTTTGCGCCTTTGTACTTCTCCATTTCAGAACGAAAAAACACACAACTGTGGTCAAGAACTCATTCGTTAAGCTTTCAACCTGGACTAGAGGCAGATACACGTGCGTGGAATGTTCTTCGCACAAACAAAATAATCAATGTAGGTGTGTGTATGGGTCTAGACTCTCCCTCCAGCGACCCACGGGCAATTTGAGTTTGAGACACCTGATCTAGACTATTCAGACACAAAAACATGAAGTAAAAGTAACAGAAGTAATAGAAGCCCAACCAGAACTATAGACTGCGTGTCATTGGCCGTGGGCCATACATGTGAGCCCAAGGTTGGCAGGTTGGTGTAAACAGCTAAAAAGTTTGAGCGGTTTAATCAGGTTTAGGTTTGTTTGAGTAAAATTTTAAATTTTAAATGTAGGGTATCTTTTTTTTTTTTTTTTTTTTTTACATCGGCATCGACACAATTTAGATCATTTAAGAGGTGGTCTTCCAACTGTCTGTCAGGGCCAACCCTGGCTGAGAGGGATACAACTATTACAACATCCCTGCAGAAAGACCTGAGATATCAAATAAAAATTTCTTCCAACGGGAATCGAAGTCGGGGGGGGGCTCTCGTGGCTTAGAGGGCAAGATGTTCGCCTTTCATTCTATAGGTCTAGGGTTCGAATCCGGATAGCGACGGAAATAATTCTTCTCTAAAATTGTCTCCTTTCACCCCCTTTCCTGCTCTCTAGCAATGTTCTGTAGGCTGCTTTCGCCTCCACTTTCTACTCCCACACCCCACCTTCATTGCCCCCTCTTCTGGGCTCCAGACTCTTTTCGCAGCCTTTCTTCTGCTACTCCCTGGCTCCTTCTTACAGCTGTCTTTCAGCCACACCCCTGATCTTATGGTAGGAAAGATCTACACCTATAGCCTTCTAGGACAAGGACGAAAAATCCCGGAGGTCCCATTTGCAAGTTGCGCACTTTAAAGATCCCTTGGCGGTCCAAAATCGATAACAGTAGGCTTCGGCCGCCACCAGGGCAAAATTCAAAATTTCAAACCAACTGAAAATGTTTAATGTGTCCCACGCGCTCTATATGACTTCTGCAGTTGCGAGCGCCGTAAAACACGAGAAGAAGTCGGGGTCTTCAGCGCACGACGGCGAAGCGCCACACCACAGACGCCGGTATAATATGTTCATTGCACAATGTCAAATCACTTCACACAATCTCACAAGCAGGCAGCACTGCTAAACATACGGCTTCTGTTGTCTCTATTAGTAAAAAAAAAAAAAAAAAAAGAAACACGTCGACACGATAGCGACCGTTTTGTGCTGAGAAAAAGCAAGATGAATAGATAGTAACATCAGAGGGGGTGGGGGTGGGAGAAGAAGTAGGGCTGAGAGGTGTGCGCCCTGCAATCACCCGCCGTACACATTCGTTGTACTCTTCCGAGACCCACCTGCCTCGTACATGTACTGCAATCTTTCTGTTATCTTATAGCCTGTCACTTAAAAAAAAATATGAACAAATACATACACACAGGCCTCTTTCCCACACTCTTCCCTGGACATCAAGGACACCACAGCTGACAAACATACAATACAAACTCTCTCTCTCTCTCTCTCTCTCTCTCTCTCTCTCTCTCTCACTCACTCACACACACACACACACACACACACACAC